TAGTCATCAATCTTACAGCAAGCACTAACTTTGGAGTGAAGATAATTCTGAAATATTTACGTCATGATGACGTCATCACGTGATTTTTTTATAAAATGTTGAATATTTAAATATTCCGTTAAATATATAAAAATCCAAAAATATAATCAAAAAATCAACCTTGGCCTCCCACAACATTCTGTTTGCAGCAAGCAAGTGCCAGGATAACGTGATGGATTGTGGTTGAAACCGGAAGTAGACTTATTGTTTAAAAGCGGTAAAAGGCATTAATTTTTTTTTTCAGCGGAGTTAGTCTGTTGGTGTTAGTGCTGGGTTGAAACCCTGCTTATATCTTGGAGAGGAATTGCTTTAGGCAAATATTGAGCTAAATTTAGTGGTGACATCATCAACAATTGCTTTTTTCATAATGGACATTATGAAATGTCAAATGTTATTAATTTTGCCTGAATTCTACTTTTTTGTTCCTTAAAAAAGGGGCATGACACCTGTTCTGCATGGGGACGTATTAAGTCCTGAACCCCAAACAGGATGGGTGATGAAGTCAATGACAACACCAGACCCTTAACTTTCAGATATCCCACATTGTGTCATTTACTGATGAATGTCAGAGTAGTTTCGAAGTGTATATCACACAGTACAGCTTTCTAGTCACAGTTATCAAAAGTGAAATTCATTTTGGCGCCAAAATGTTCAGGATAGTGCAACAGATGTCATCTATAGTGGTCCTGCAATCTTTGTTCTTATATTTTGTTCACAGAAAATGTGAAATGTGCAATGAATTATTGTGTTAGATATTATCAAAGAATTTTGTTTTTTAGAGTGACAAGGCATGTTTACGATTATGCAAATAAGGCAGGGTTTGCAGACCGGTGTGAATGGAGAATACACTCTTTAAGGCCCTGTATCTCCTGAAGTACATGTCTAATTGGGTTCAAATCTTGCAGATATCTTGAATAGAGAGTGCTTTAGAGGAAAATTGACCTGATGTGATAATGACATCATGAGGAGACAAGTAACAAGACAGCAAGTTGAACTCTTGAAGGCCCTATATCTCCTGATGTACATGACCAATCAGGTTCAAATCTTGCAGATATCTTCAAAGGGAGCTTTTCGGACAAATAATGAAGGGATGTGACGATGACGTCATCAGAAGACAAGTCATGTGACATTAAAGGTGCACTCCTCAAAGCAATATATCTCGTGAAGTACATATTCGATTGGGTTCAAACCTTGCAGATCTCTAGAAAAGGAGGAGTTTCAGACAAACATTGACCTGATGTGGTAAGGACTTCATCTTGTGACTAGTCACATGACATTAAAAGTACATTCTTTACAAGCCTATATCTTGTGACTGGGCTGAAATTTGGTAGATAGATTTGGCAAGTGTTATAGACAAGGTGACATTATGTAAAGGGTGCAAACTTTAATTCTTTGTATCTCCTAATTTCCAAAAAGGGGGAAATTCAAATGTGGTTGTATCTCAAATGAAGGAATGCCCTTTTCTTAAGAAAAAAAAAATGCAAAAGGCCCTTTGCTCTTTCCTTAACCCCCTTCGCGCCGGGAAGCGGCTATAGCCGCCGTAAAAATTGAGATTCTCAGCCCGCTTTTCTGCAACTATACTCAGCCCTCGCTCGAGCAAACAGGATGAAAGAAGGCAGACCCTGGCTCTTATATATATGGTAATTGGTCTTTGTGCGTAGCCCAGAAATGAAAAGAGTGA